TCAATAAGTGGTGTTGGGAAAACTGGACAGCTACATGTAAAAGAATGAAATTAGAACACTCCCTAACACCATACACAAAAATAAACTCAAAATGGATTAAAGACCTAAGTGTAAGACCGGACACTATAAAACTCTTAGAGGAAAACATAGGCAGAACACTCTATGACATAAGTCACAGCAAGATCCTTTTTGACCCACCTCTTAGAGAAATGGAAATAAAAACAAAAATAAACAAATGGGACCTAATGAAATTTAAAAGCTTTTGCACAGCAAAGGAAACCATAAACAAGACGAAAAGACAGCCCTCAGAATGGGAGAAAATATTTGCCAACGAAGCAACTGACAAAGGATTAATCTTCAAAATATACAAGCAGCTTATGCAGCTCAATATCAAAAAAACAAGCAACCCAATCCAAAAATGGGTAGACCTAAATAGACATTTCTCCAAAGAAGACATACAGATGGCCAAGAAACACATGAAAGGGTGCTCAACATCACTAATCATTACAGAAATGCAAATCAAAACTACAATGAGGTATCACCTCACACCGGTCAGAATGGCCATCATCAAAAAATCTAGAAACAATAAATGCTGGAGAGGGTGTGGAGAAAAGGGAACCCTCTTGCACTGTTGGTGGGAATGTAAATTGATACAGCCACTCTGGAGAACAGTATGGAGGTTCCTTTAAAAACTAAAAATAGAACTACCATACCACCCAGCAATCCCACTACTGGGCATATACCCTGAGAAAACCATGATTCAAAAAGAGTCATGTACCACAATATTCATTGCAGCTCTATTTACAATAGCCAGGACATGGAAGCAACCTAAGTGTCCATCAACAGATGAATGGGTAAAGAAGATATGGCACATATATACAATGGAATATTACTCAGCCATAAAAAGAAACGAAATTGAGTTATTTGTAGTGAGGTGGATGGACCTAGAGTCTGTCATACAGAGTGAAGTAAGTCAGAAAGAGAAAAACAAATACCTTATGCTTACACATATACATGGAATCTTAAAAAAAAAAAGGTTCTGAAGAACCTAGGGGCAGGACAGGAATTAATACGCAGACATAGAGAATGGACTTGAGGATATGGGGAGGGGGAAGGGTAAGCTGGGACGAAGTGAGAGAGTGGCATGGACATATATACACTACCAAATGTAAAACAGAATCTAGTGGGAAGCAGCCGCATAGCACAGGGAGATCAGCTCGGTGCTTTGTGATCACCTAGAGGGGTGGGAGGGAGATGCAAGAGGGAGGAGATATGGTGATATATGTATACGTATAGCTGATTACCTTTGTTATACAGTAGACACTAATACACCATTATAAAGCAGTTATACTCCAATAAAGATGTTAAAAAAAAGTTGTTAGTCTGCACCTAGTTTTTCATCAAAAAATATAATAAATGAGATTAGGGCCCAGGTTACATAAATGTTTAATTCTACAGTCACTAAACCAAAATTCATGTTTATAGCTTATTTGTGAAATGGGTCCCAGATTCCAACCAGGAATTTAGAATGAACATTTTCTCTACCCTCCTCTTCCTTACCACTTAGCCTCTCCACTTTCTTCTTTCTCACCCTGCTTCCTCCTCTAGGCAAATGAATTCTTCTCTTTTCTACATATGGTTGAGAAGTTAGAAAGGATTTTTTCATTTTTTACTTCCCCTCATGTCAGAACTAGCAGTGCCGTAAAGAAACATACTGGTTCAAATATTGTGGCAGGACACAAAGGGAGAAAAGGAACTTGATGTGGGCTGGAGGAAGTGGGGGTATGGGATTCAGGAAGCAGGGAGAAGTGGCTCCGATGACTGGTTTCTGGAGATTAGGGAATGAAGTATTTCAGGGAGATTGAGATGTGGGTATTTATAATAGGGGATCTTGAGCATGCCTAGCTTTTTCCTGTTACAGGGCTTTACCTGTGTTGTCTACTGTATGTCTGGAACATTTTCTCCCAAGTATTTTTATGGCTCACTCCTTCACATCATTTCAGGCCTCTGCTCAAAATGATACCCTCTCAGTAAGACAAAAGCCTTCCCTTACTGAGATAGCTACCCATCTTCTTCATTCTAGCTTCTTATCCTGCTTTATGCTCTCTTAATGGCACTTATCATTACCTGAAACTATATTATGTATTTGCTGATTTTTTGAAATTGTCTTTCTCTCATATGAGAATGTAAATTCTGTGAGTTCAGACTAGATCTGCTTGTTCATCTCCTTGAACTGTCCTGGAACGTAGAAATCATTCACTAAATTTTTGTTGAATGACAGAATGAATTAATGGGGATGGCTTCATGTTTGTAAATTTTCAGGACAATAGAAGTTAATGGAAAGTACCCTGGGGCTCAAGATGAAGGAGCTATGTGGATATGAGGTTCAACATTGGTAGGTCTAGGGGGTGCCCTCTGTAACAATATTAGCTGAGGAATTATTTCCCCCAGATACATTTTATAATCTGGGATTTCTTTTGTATAACCAAAACTGGAAGAGGAGTATTTATCCATTTTAAGAGAATGAAATTATTATGTATTTTAGAGCTACTATTTACATATGGATCATGTAAATACAATGTAAGATTATTTAGACCAGTGCTGTTATGGAAGTACAAATAGTTTTTATTATTATAAGAGAACACTGCACTAATGATTGGTTAATCTAGTTTCAGATATACTACATATGTGGGAGTAGAATATAGAATTTTAAGAATTCTAAAAAAGAATTTCAAGTATTTATACCCTTTATAATTCAGAGGCCTTCTGCTACCCGCCCCCTCTCCCCATCTGCAATCCTCTTCCCCTATGCATTGGTCAAAAATATTGAGGGTTTTTTTTTCTATATTGGATTACTGGCTAGAAAAAAATTCATATTAAAAATTTGAAAATATCTGTTTTTATGTAGACACCGGTTACTTTATTGGATCTGGTTAGTAAGAAACTTAAGAAGCTTCTACATGGAGAAGATCCAGATGCTATATCAGGTATTGATTCAGTCTTATTCTTTCTTTATCATTATGTGACTGTTATAGCCACATAAGTTGGAAAGGAGCCAAGGGTGAGTATGTAATAAATATATAATGCTATAAAAGGTGGTTACATTAAGGTTATTTTTTAATATCTCCAGAGCAAGTTCTTCTCTGGTTGTTTCTGGAAGCTCTTTGTTTGATTACCTTTCTTCTAAAAGGGTAAACACTTACTATATCTCATGCTGCTCCCAGGTCTCACCTTCCCCTCATTTATTACCCACCTGCCTGCTTCCTTGCTCCTGTGCACACTGTTTTTCTTTCTCCTGTTTTTCATTCTCTCTCTTTCCCTCCTCTTTTCTAGGAAATGACAAAGTTTTTATAGAGAAGGAGCTTAAACACTTGCCCCTACCCAGTTGAAAAGGCTTCATGATTCTTTTTACTCCATGTCTTTTGGCAATTGATCTGATTCCTTACTTTTTAATTTCTTTAAACCATAAAATATCTAAAAGTCAAATTTCCTAAGATTGTCATGTGAGACAAAATAAAGTAATAGGTATAACTTTGGGTGCTAGGGCCAAATTGCCTGGGCAAATTAACTTCTTTGTGCCTCACCTTCCTCATCTCCAAAATGAGAATAATAGTATCTACCTTGTAGTTGTTAAATATTTAGTATTTATATTAATAATATAACATTGGAGGCTTCCCTGGTGGCACAGTAGTTAAGGATCCACCTGCAAATGCAGGGGACATGGGTTTGAGCCCTGGCCCGCGAAGATCCCATATGCCATGGAGCAACTAAGCCCATGCGCCGCAGCTACTGAGCCTGCACTCTAGAGCCCGCGAGCCGCGACTACTGAAGCCATGTACCTAGAGCCCGTGCTCCGCAACGAGAAGCCACCGCAATGAGAAGCCCGTGCACCACAACGAAGAGTAGCCCCTGCTCGCCGCAACTAGAGAAAGCCCGTACGCAGCAACAAAGATCCAACTCAGCCAAAAATAAATAAATAAATTTATATATAAAAAATAAACACAAAATGAGAGAATACGGTGAATTTCATAATTTTAAAAATAATATAGTTATAAATCATAGATACTATATTTAAATTGTATTATTTAAATATTAAGTACTAATGATGTTTAATATTAATTGACACTAATATTAAATCCTACTCTGTGTCAGACTGTGCTGAGCACTAACATGCATTTATGAAATTATTCTACACAATAACCTATTATGTAGGCATTATTATTACCCCATTCTATAGGTAAGAACTGAAACTTAGATTAAGTAACTTGACCAACTAGAAATGTAGGTAACATTTCTTCCTTAAAAAGAAAAAGTTTTCGGGCTTCCCTGGTGGTGCAGTGGTTGAAAGTCCGCCTGCCGATGCAGGGCACACGGGTTTGTGCCCCCGTCCGGGAAGATCGCACATGCCTTGGAGCGGCTAGGCCCGTGAGCCATGGACGCTGAGCCTGCGCGTCCGGAGCCTGTGCTGCGCAACGGGAGAGGCCACAACAGTGAGAGGCCTGCGTACCGCAAAAAAAAAAAAAAAAAAGTTTTCTAAGGCATTACTAATTTCTAGAAAAGTATTCATAGAATAGGGCATATGTTTATTTGCCAGGATTATTTGGAATTTCTCAGCTAATAGATGCCATTTCCTCCCATTCCCTTCTTTGAACATAGGACATATGGCCACAGGTCTGTTGCCACATGCAGCCTGTCTGTTTGATGCTGTTAAACAGATACTAACAAAGTATTCAGAACCTAACATCTGGAATCTTTTTAGATTAATTAGATCTCATCTGACTAATTTCAAGATAAACTTCATTTGGCTGCCATACTATATTAGCTTTTCACATTCAATTTTTCATTAGTTTTGGCTTTGAGGAAAATGGAGGAATTGTAGGCATTTTAACATTTATTTCCATCCAACATTTATTCAACAATATGCTTTAAAGGGAGATAATGAATATAAGTGCTTTGCATTGTGCCGTGTGCTATAAGCACTTGGGAAGTGAAGAGTTATCTGATAATATTTTTCCCTAAATAGCTTAACTCTCGTCTCTTCTTGAAGTTTATCCCTTATTCAGTAAAATTGTCAGATGATTATCAGTATACAACTTAATTGAATTTTTTAATTTCCTCTGTGTTTTGTGTTGTATGCTCTTTTCTGCATGCTTGAATTGATTATTTGAAATTCATGTCTTGATTTAAAATGTTCCTGATATCAAATATTCATCCATCCATCCATTCAATTATTCACTAAACATTTTGAAGATCTACTCTGTGCCAGACTTTGTATAAGCACCGCAAAATACAAGATGTATAAGATAATGCCCCTGCTTGCAATAAGTTTATGTTCCATGTTAAAAGCACCTGGCACTTAGTAGTTATAGATATCAATAGATAGTTGTTGAATAAATTAATTCAGTGAAATAACTGAAGTATGAGAGAGACAACCATTTATAAATCAATCATAATAAAATATAAGAGGGATATGTTCAAGCCAGAGGAGGTTATAGAAGACTAGAGGAGGAGGATTACCTGACCTAGTTTGAGGGCATCAGGCTAGGCTTGTGGAGGAGATGATACCTAGTGGGAGTCTTAAAGAACTAGATGCAAGCTAAACCAGAGGAGTGGAGAAGGGGAAGATATTCTGGACAGGAGGAACATTGTGAGCAAAAATAGGTACAGGCTAGAAATTACAGCTGAGCGGTGGCAGGAATTGAAACTAGAGAAATAGATGTCAGATCTTGAAGGGCCTCATTTAGCAGCCAAGGAATTCACTAGGCAGCTGGGGAGGCATTTTTTATTTTTTAAAAAGTGATACGGCTAGATTTATATTTTAGATAGTGCTTAGCAGCAGTTTGGAGAATGGGTTGGCCAGGGGGACTGGAAGCAGAGTTCTTAGGAGACTACTACAATGGTGCAAGTGAGAAATCATGCAGGCCTGTACTGTAGCAGAGACAAGAGGGACGGAGGGAGGGGACAGGTTTGAGAAATATTTAGGAGGTAAAATTGGCAACACTTGATTGCATCTGGGGGTCCGAGAGAAAGGGGACTCAAAGATAATTCTCAAGTTTCCAGGTGAGGTGACTGCCACCAATTCAGATAGAAAAACAGAGGAGAGGAACATGTGTAGGGAAATGATTGAATCTGTTTTGACCTTTTGATTTAAGATATGTGTGGGACATTCTGGTTGATATTTTCAGCAGAGCAGCTGGATGTGCAATTTTGAAGTTCAGGGGAAAGATATGAACTAAAACTAAATATCTGGGAGCATGTGGAAATTGAGGTCATTTAGAGTATGTTGATCTGGGGGTCCGAGAGAAAGGGGACTCAAAGATAATTCTCAAGTTTCCAGGTGAGGTGACTGCCACCAATTCAGATAGAAAAACAGAGGAGAGGAACATGTGTAGGGAAATGATTGAATCTGTTTTGACCTTTTGATTTAAGATATGTGTGGGACATTCTGGTTGATATTTTCAGCAGAGCAGCTGGATGTGCAATTTTGAAGTTCAGGGGAAAGATATGAACTAAAACTAAATATCTGGGAGCATGTGGAAATTGAGGTCATTTAGAGTATGTTGAGCAATATAAGAGGTCCAGGATAAAACATTAAAGAACACTAATCATCAAGGGGTGAGTAAAGAGGAACCTATGACTGAGACAGAGAAGGAATGTTAGAAGGGGAATGAGGTGAAGTTGTCCTCGTAAAGCCAAGGAAATGTAACATTTTAAAGAGGCGGATTGCATGTGGCAGCAGATCAGGACTGCTCTGGACTCTCTGGAGCCAATTAGTGAGAGCTGATTTAGTAGCTTGAGAGGCAAAAGCCAGGTTGCAAGTAGGATGAAAAGGAATGAATGGGTGAGAGATTAAAGAGTGGATCTATGATAAGGGAAGAGAGAAGCTGGGAATAACTGGGGCGATGCTAAATCAAGCCAGAGATTTGAGCATAATGACCCGCTGAGAGGTCAAAAGAGATTACTGATGGAGCCAGGCCCTGGAGGAGGCAGGAGGAAATGCCTTCAAGGGCACAGGACCAAGGGTTTTCCTTGAACAGGGGAGGGATATGAAGAGTAAAGTTGATAGTGTGTATGGATATAAATAAATATGTAGGTCCAAGGTAGAAAGTTGAAGATAATTAAATGATGAATCCATTTTCCTTGACAAAGTAGGAGGAGGAGACCCTATTGTCTGAGGAGTTGTAGGGGGACCATTGAATGGATGACATGAGAAAAAGGGAACAGTTTGAAATAGACAGGGAATGGGAAAAGCAGTTGAGAAAAGACAAATGAATGGACTGATGAGTAATTCTGAGGATCCTGATGAAGTAGATTATAAATTTTAGTGATGCCAATTTGGACAGTAATTTTCTCAGCAGCACTTATTTACTTGAATGTTCAAGTGTAAAAGGTGGATTCAAGCATTGATTAAGGGCTGAAATTTTGCTTTGTCAGGTGTTGCAGAAAGATTGGAGTGCAAGAAAATTGAGGACACAAATTAGTGAGAAAGTGGCTCAGATGATCAGATATGTGTCTGACTCAGGATGGGAAAAAAGAGATGATGAACAAAGAAAAATGGCACATCACTCTGAGACTGACGAGAGTTGTGACAGAGCTAAAGGCAGTATGGCATAGTATAGGGATCCCAAACCCTGGGAGTGGGACAATCCCAGGTTCAGATCCTAGCTCAGCCGTGTGGTCCAAGCTTCTGTTTCTTTATCGATAAGGCAGGGCTGTTAATAATAATACCTGCACACTTACACCTTAGAACATTGAAGATATAATGAGAAAAAGTACAAAAAGCTTGACACATGGTAAGCACTCATTGTAAGCTATTTTTTTAAATATAAATTTATTTATCTTACTTTTGGCTGGGTTGGATCTTTGTTGCTGCGCGCGGTCTTTCTCTAGTTGTGGTGAGCAGGGGCTACTCTTCATTGCGGTGCGAGGGCTTCTCATTGTGGTGGCTCCTCTTGTTGCAGAGCACGGGCTCTAGGCGCCCAGGCTTCAGTAGTTGTGGCTCGCAGGCCCTAGAGCGCAGGCTCAGTAGTTGTGGCACATGGGCTTAGTTGCTCCGCGGCATGTGGGATCCTCCCGGACGAGGGCTCGAACTTGTGTCCCCTGCATTGGCAGGTGGATTCTTAACCACTGCACAACCAGCGAATTCCCGTAAGTTATTATTGTGTTACTATTTGAAGGACAGTAGATTCTGAATAGAGTTAGGTGTAGGATTTTAAGTTTTCAGAGGCAGTGTAATACCAGGTGTCACCATAGGTGTGTTTAAGTGAAGCTGTGTTTATAGTGAAAATAGGCAAACCCCCTAATATTAATGGGCTTTAGGATTTCAAAGGTTACCCTGATTGACAGTTGCTTTCGTGTGTCTGGAGGCTAAGGTGTCCCCATCTGTAGA